TCAAGGATCAAGGGTCACCATACCTCTAAGTTGAAACCCACGAAAAATTGAAGAAGAAAGCACTCAAAACCTTCAACCCTAGCTCCAACTTCACCTTGGCCTTCAATGGTGTTCCTAAGAGAACCCTTCCTTACTCTTTTAAAATGGAATAAAATGATCCACAATAAGCCTAACACAATAATATAACCTCAAAAGAAAAGATTTGTGAAAAGACCAAAATGCCCTTAAATTTCCGGACGGATTCCTTGCCAACTGCCCAACTTTCAAAGGGCATAACTCGCTCATACGAACTCGGAATCGAGCAAACTCGGTGGCGTTGGAAAGATCGTTCCAAGGGCTTTCCAAAAATAACTGGAACTACTCCTGGATCATCCTGATCTAGGAGTTATGACTGCTCAAAGTTGGCCAAAAACTCACTGATTTCCACACATGGCAGAATTTCCAGATTTTGAACTTAGCCAATTTCCAGATTCTGAACTATTTTTTTTTTCAAAAGTGACTACTTCCAATTTATGCTTAAACTTTAAAAATTCATACGTTAAGCTCTAGTTTCACCTATCTATTTTTAGGGTCGCTACAGGTATCTATGAATGTTAAGGTTGACTTTACTTGTTACAAGCTATGAACATGAATGTCTCATTACTTATGTATGTTGGTTATGAATGAGGTAAAAGAATGATATGTATGATGTTGGTAGCCTGAATGTGATACTTAGTATTTGGTAGGGTTATGGGACCTTACCTTTGCATTGCATTAGTATGGCTTCGGGTTGCTTATATGTTGGTTTGGCTTATCTTTCTTCATAAATGTGCATTATGGCTTTTAAACTTGAGAAAGGCATGACTTCAACTAAATGTCCCTTTTATGCATGTTTTAAGGTTTTTTTGTGGATGGCTTCCATACTTAGTACATTAATTCTGCTAACCCATATTTTCTACATTCTATAAGTGTAGGTTTCGGTCGTTGATATGCACTTCTCCTTTCAAGTGAAGCTTGGGTTGGCTATTTCCTAAGCTTGGTAAGTCCTCAAGTTCGAGGACGGATTACTCATTTCTAGTTTTATTGTACTTTCCTATTTTGAGACTTTATTGATGTAAAGGGCTTTTGACCCTATTTGTACTCTCTATTGTACTAGATGGTGATTAAGACAAGTCTAGATTCCTATTTTTCGTTTATGAAAAAGAAGTTGACTTCGATTGTAAAATTTTTAAATTTTCCGTAATTATTCTATGTATTTATGTTATGATTATGCTAAGGGCTTGTATGAGACCCCTTCGGGGTCAAGTACGCCATGTTACTCCTAGGGGGTAACCCCGGGTCGTGACAGTCATGAACCTGTTACTTGATTGTATGATTAAGACTATGTTCGTTATAGGTGTAATTGTGATTGTGATTGTGATGATGGGATCGGGTGTCACATACCGACATATTTACATGCATTGGATCGGCTGTCACGTACCGACACACACACATACATTGGATCGGGTGTCACGTACCAACACACATACATATATTGGATCGGGTGTCACATACAGACACACATACATACATTGGATCGGCTATCACGTACTGACACACATACATGCATTGAGATCGAGTATTACGTTCCGGCACACTAACAGTATGGGTGTGGGTTCCTTGAGAGAACCATGTGTGGTTGATATATTCATATCTGCTTGTTATTGATAATATGGAACTGTATGTTGTTCTTGAACTGATAATTGGATTGTGCATTATATATATATATATCGAGGGGTTTGCGGTGGCGTAAGGTAATTGGGTACATCTCGTTAATGAATGAACTATGAAAGGTCAGACCCTAAATTGGGATGTGGCATGGTAAGTGGAGACCAAGGGTCCAGGTGTTACTATTTCTTACATTAGAGAGGTGGTCATGTGTATTGTCTTTAAGGTTTGAGTGGTGATGTGGAAGAAGTAAGGGTATGTCGTGATTGGTTAGCTGGGTTGGTAGTAGTTGTTCCAGAATCTCCTCTAAGGGATAAAATGGTTAGGTTATTATCAAAGCGGAATGAGGAAGGGGTTAGCGTCAAGTGTAGTAGTATATGTTGACGTATCGAGGAATGATAAGGGAAGAAGGATATAAAAGTGGAGGAATGAACAGTCTTATTGCATGTTTCCTGCTAGTCGATTTCTTATATTATGCGGTGGGCATCAGGTTGATCAATGATGCCTACCAGTACGTGTGGTTATACTGATACTACTCTTGCTATGCCTTTTTGGCATAGTCTGGTTGCAGGGTCAATGATGTTTCATAGGTGAAGACGAAGGCAATCTCCAACAACTTCTACTTTTCCTTCCATGTGGCGGGAGCTGCGTCATTGTTATAATGTTTAAACTTTGTAATCTTAGAAGCTCTTGTACCTGTTTAGACTAGATCCCTGGGGAAGTTAATTACTTTACAAGTTAACTTGAATCGTTTAAAACTCTTTATTTATAAAATTTCATGAAGTTCCTTTTATCTACAACTTTGTTAATTTTCCACACCTTTTTAAACGGTTGGGATTCGAGAGTTCTCCTACTTAGGTGTTGTAGTAGGCTCCCGCATGACCCGATGGGTTGGATCGTGACAAGCTCATATTCAAATAAGAAATTATTAAGAAGAAGTCATCATGATGTCATTATTGATGCTTCAAAAATAATAAATTAATTACCCTGTTCATCACACTTTTATTTTAATTTAATATTATTTTAATCTGTTTAAAAAAATACTTCTTATTTTGCATTTTTTTTATATTCTAACTCTCCACAGGATATATTTACATAAGATTAAAAAACATTTTGATATATTACACATATCTTTAGCTGAAAATCACAAAATTCAAAAATATTCTTTATTTTCTTAAAATTTGTGCTAAAGCAAAATCAACGACAATAATATAGCCATCAATACCAAATCAAAATCATACAAAATTATATGATTTGTATGGGGATAATGATATTTATTTCTTCACTTTATTTTCATTTTTTCACGCTAAATGAAGAGATGACCTGGTAAGTTAGGAAGGAAAACGCTGAATATTTTTTGAAAACATGCTTTGATAATTTATTTATCAAATAATTGAGCACGACATCTTAAATAAGCTTTTAATTAGGACTATTATTATTAATTCTTAATTATGTCATTATTCAATTTTCTCTTTATAAATTAAAATTAACATATCTTACATGAAAAATCAGACATCAAAAGAATGTGTATGTAATTATCCATTGAGCATCCTTAACTGCTTGATTTTTTTTTCTTTAATTTTATCCAAAATGTTCAATATTTAATAAATATGTGAAAAATAATATTATTTTTAAAAATAAAAATAAAGAGCGTTCAATTAATCATCTTATATTACCCTCAACTTTGACATTGCTTCTAATCTAGTTCATGTTTTGATAAGCTAAGGTTGGGAGACATTTTTACGTTTATTAATTATACATATTAAAGTAAATATATAATGAGTCCTCATTATCCTGCATGCTTAAAGTGGAAACATCATAAGTAGACTAAAAAAATATTGCTCGAGTGAAAAAATGAATTAAACATATGTTACTTGGTCTGTTATTTATACTCTGACTTTCATAGCCCAAAAAAGCATAGGCAAATCTATCTCTTTAATTTATTTATCTTAGATCCTGGGAAAGGTATCATATTTCCTCAAATCTGCTCTAATTCATTCTTTAACTAGTTAATTTATTCGCGTTTTGCGCGATCACATATATCTTTTCTTATATAAATTTAATTATAAAATGTAAAATATTTTATAATGATAAAGTTCTTGCAAAAATGAATTATTTATCATTTAGTAAAAAGGAAAGTGTAAATTTAATAAATAACATATTTAAGAATGATATTACTAGTTATAATAACACTTTCTCGTTTTCAATATATAACATTAGATTTCTAACAAATAATAAATTAATAAAATAAATTAAAAAAGGAAAATAGATTAAAATATTTTTTAATCAACTAATTAATAATATCTTTTCCTTAATTATAGTATTCTATAACTGATAGGATATCAATACCCTAATTTTCTCTCCATTAATTGGTCATTATTTTAGTTGTTATCAATCTCCTAATTAATAAGTAGTATCAATCTCCTATTTTGATTCTTCTTTCCTCCTTTTTTCTAGTTGTCAATTTTTTTTTTTAATTTTTTATCACGTAATAGTATTTGGCTGATATCATTTTTAGGTGTTTTCTTTTTTGAAATTATTTTTAAAAAAATTAAAATAATTAAGCATTTTTATTTTTGGAATATGATATTTTTATAATTTTTTTAGATGAATATTTTATTTTATTTTTGTATCAATCTGCATGAATGGATAATTAGTTTCTGTTTGAAATAATGTTTTTGTTGCCCTTAAACTTTTTTATACATTATGAATAAAAACTACATCTCTAAATACAATTACTAATAAAAACATTATTTCCTTTTTGTTATAAATTCATTGAATTAGTGGATCGTCCATATTCTCAATAATGAACTAATTACATTCATGTATATGTATGTGTATTATAGGTTCTATGAACCATTTTGGATAAGAATGTATCTATTTATTATGACACTTATTATGGTGATTTTTAGAGTGATTTCTCAACCTATGAATAAGATTCTTCATTCACCATTGTTAAAGACTTGAAGACATTTGAATAAGATGATCTCGACATTATGCTCTCCATATCTCTTGTCTATATTGTTTTGTAGAAACAATATCAACAAAATCAACAAAGCAAATTACATTTATTTCATGAAACACACAACAAAGCAAATTACATCATTATGAGAAACACAAACATCAACAAGCACAACCACTTAGAATTCTTCAACTTGAGCAAACACCACTTTCATAGAGAATATGAAAATTCCTCATTCACAATAAAATAATTAAACTTCTCTCAACCATAGATAGCAAATAAATTGTTCAAACTCTTCATTAACACATATTTGTCCATATATTTGATCGAAGAGTCTGAACAACATAGAATATTACTGGTTGACATGATGAGTGTCAACATCTTTGGTTAGATTAGTGACTAATTGCAAATAAGAGAAGGGTTCTAGAATGTCTTCATTTTTCTTTTCATATTCAATAGTCCATATAACCACGTTGTTATCTCCTTCATTCTCAATATGAATAGTTTCTTTGAAGGCCTTGTATTCCTCTATCAAATGACCTTCAAATGCCTTGAATGTCACTAACCTTTTTTCCTTGTTTATGTCGTCAACAACCACCTTAACAACCTTCTTCTCCCCCTCTATTTTTTATGGGGAAAAAAAAGAGCGGAAAATTATACATTTAGACAAGATTGATACATTAAATGTGATGTTTATCTCCAAATATTGAATTACATGACATAAAAATTTATGTTGGACGGTATATTTTTGAAGATTTACTATTTATAAATGAACATAATCAAGAAAACAAATAAATATTATTATCGGCTCAAAGAGAAGTAAAATCGTTGTTTGGTACCCAAATTAATTATATGATCGAATTATCCTTTATGTTAACGTTTTATTTAGTGTATACTTAAATTATTTTTGAAGTATTTGTCCAAAAAATATTTGATTTGTGTATTTAATTTTACTTTTTATTTAGATGCAATGATTATTTATTATAACCGAGCATCTGTTTTTTATTTATTTTCCGGGTCAAATTTATTTTTAAACATATTTTCTAGAGCTTATTGTTTTAGCCAAATAAAAAATTTATTCATAATAATCGAGTTCTAATTTTTTATTTATCTTTTTATTTCTAATATTTGATTTGTTTTAAAATCAAATATTTTGAAGTAAATTTTAGCTAACTATATTTGTTCCATTCCAAGGTCAACTACAAATGCCTACTTTTAAAATTAGGCTAATTGGGATTAAGAAGATGTTAGGGATATATACTATTAACCATGTGTTAAGAAATAATATTTATTATAGAATAAATATTTGCTCAATTTTAATAGATCATATATTCGTTTATAGTGTCTGTTTACTTGTATAGTAGATGATTTAGTGTGTAGAGTTTTAGCTTATACACAGAAGAATAAATCATCTGTTCTTATAAGTGTAAAGTTTTTTGTTCACAATCTAGGATGGAAATTGGACATGTCATCTGTACGATTGTAGCACAAGATTATATGTAATTTATCTTGATTATGGGAACGGTATAGTTCCAACTTCTTGTGCTAGTGCATTTTGTATGTATTGAACGGGACCGAGTAGAGATAGTTGTTTTAGACTGACTGACCAAACATATTCTCTAAACTATTAAATGTACTTATATTCTTAATCCTGATATAACTATTATGATCTGTATATATTAATTATCGTTTTGATTTATTAAAAGGTGAGATTCTGAGATGGGTCAATATGCCTGGTAAGTTGCATGATAATAATATATATTGGTGAAATAATAACTTAGTTGATGAAATCCATGTCTCGTTATAGAGATTGATTGATTTGCCTTTTTGAGAAACTTATAAGTTTTCACCGTGTCAAACCTTGCAAGTGGATTTATGAATCCGACACATGAAATAAGTTAAATAGTGCCCTAAAGGAAATTAATCATTAAGTTAAATTCGTCAGTAATTTAATTTATTGATTAGTATTTGAAATCTTAACATGGGAAATTACATAAGTGTTTAATGGGAATTACAAAATATAAATAGAGTGCAATTACGAATTTCTAGTGGAATGATTTGTAATTTATTATGGTAAGAATAATTCAAATTAATTATTTGAAATTATTTTCATAATAGGAAGCCTCAGTAATTAATTATGTGGTCTCTGCATTGCTCATATTTAACTAGAACTCAGAATCGTATTTCTTAGGGGAAAAAGGAGTAGGCATGTGTTTTCTTATTTTTGCAACAAAATTGGGTTTTCTTCTCCTTTTTGGATTGGGAAGGAATCTCTATGATTCTCCTAACCTAGAAAAAGATTGATTAGTTTTCTATTCGATACTTTCCCACCCAAGTATTGAGAGAGTTCGGATGTGAACTTGGGCACTATAGAAGACCATAGCTATTGTCTATCTCGTAGATTTTCTTGAAGGTCTGCTCACACTTCAAGAGGTATTTATCGAATTAAATTTCAGCAAGTTTATGTGTTCTAACATGATTATGTGCTCTAACATAAATATTATTGGTTCAAGAGGTATTTATCGAATTAAATTCAGCAAGTTTATGTGTTCTAACATGATTATGTGCTCTAACATAAATATTATTGGTTCAAGAGGTATTTATCGAATTAAATTCAGCAAGTTTATGTGTTCTAACATGATTATGTGTTCTAACATAAACAATATTGGTTATCTATTATTCATATAAGCAGTAAGATCCTGATATAATTCCGCTGTGCATATATGTTTTACAAAAATTGGCATCATGAGCCTCGCTTACATCTAAATAGATAACTTGAATAATATATGTGTTTTGAATGTATACACAATTGATGTCGGATCAGGAATAAACTTGGAAAAATTTGATTATATTGTAAGTGGCGGCAGAAGTGGGTTTAACTCCACTAGCTAATACACCAATTTTTTTTATCAAGTGCTGGAGTGGGTTTTTTTCAACCCATTGCTCTTTAAAGTGCTTGTTTATGTATACAAAGATAAAAGCAATTAAGGAGCTGTAGTTGTAGATTAGTCGGTGACTATTTTGATAATGCAAGTGTCGACGGCGGCAGCGGTGTACTATGTTTTGGCAAAGTGAATATTTAATTATTTGCCAAATAATTGATACTACAAGCATGTGTTTGTTCCTTTGGATTGGCCAATAATTATTTTTTAAAAATTATTTGGGCATTGTCTTTGTTACACGATACCAATTTTTCTCATACGCGTATAATGTTACATATGAATTGAGAGTTTGTGATTAATAAATAGTGCTGCCATTAAATGGTCTATTTATTTGAGATCACTAAAAAATTCTTTAAGGCTTTATACATGTGAGATTATATATATTGCAATACATGAATTGAGAATTATGATTAATAAATAGGATTAACTGAAGTTATCTATTTATTTGAGTCATTAAAATACGCTCAATGTATCATGTATAAGAAGGTATTGTGTGTCTTAAACAAAGGAAGGACTCGATGTATGCCTTGTGCTCATGAGATAATCATTAAAAGAGAATGAAAATCTAAATCAAGTTTTTTTTTAATCTTTAACTATGCCTAAAACGATTATTTTTCATATTTGGTCATAGTTTAGGTGGTCATGATTTTTGTGATCTCTGATTGACTTGAAATTTGATGGTTCCATCGAAATTTATATAGAAAGGTTTTAGGTAGTTTGTTGGATTAAATTTTTATTTGAATATGATGAGATCATTCTTTATGTTAGTTATGTTTATGTTAAATTTGGAACATGGTTGCACATGGTTATTTAACATGAATTGATATGTGATAAGAATGTATGTCATATTGTTTTAATTCCTAAAGATGCTTAAATTACTTATATTTGAATTTGGTCATGGCTTTGGAAATAGTTTCTTTCCAATTGACCTGAAATTTAATAAGTTCATTGGTAAACGACCTAGTAAGAAAAGTACTCATTGCTATATGGTTATATTTTTTGAGGTCACTAAAATGATTTTAAAGTTGTTCTTTGAAATTAAATGTGATTTAGTATGAATGACATCCTTTATATTGATTTTATTTATGTTATATGTTGTACATGATTACACGTGATGAGCTAACATAAATTGAATATGATAAGGATGTAGATCTGTTCATTTTTCCTCAAATTGTTTGAATCTGAATTTGATCATAGCTTTGGAGATAAATATTATTTTTGAACTCCAATTGATTTGAAATTCAATAGGTTCATCAGAAACGATCAAATTTAAATTTCAGCAAGTTTATGTGTTCTAACATGATTATGTGTTCTAGCATAAACAATATTGGTTATCTATTATTCATGTAAGCCATAAGATTCCAGTATGTTTCCATTGTGCATATAGTTTTTCAACAGAATAGTCTTATTTTTCGATTATAAATAGCGAAATTGTTATAAATAATCGCTAATCAAAATAAATAATAGTGAGCATACGATTCAATTAAAAAAATGATTAGAAAATATTATCGATAGTATAATTCCAGTTAACAATTGAGCCAACGGTACCCCAATCGCCTTCATGTAAATCGACTGCTTGAATAGTTTGTGGTACAACATTTGAAAGATGATGTGGTTTTTCACAAAACATTTCATGAAATAAATCCTTACAACCTTTTATTTCTGTTTCTGAAATCAACTTTCCTTTTTAGACCCATTTTTTTATAAAAAAAAATTGTAATATAGAAATAGAAGTATTATTGGAAAATTTTGATGTGTAAAATAAATCAGAAAAGGAAGTCTTTACATAGTTGAACTTTGGGGCATAGATTATTACAATTATTTTCTACAAGTTGAGTATTGATTTATATATAATAATATAACAATAGTGACAACTTAGATTTGTTGAGACGTGGTAGTGTTGTGATTTAGCAATAAATGTGATATGGATGACTATGACAATTGAATTATTGTATTAGAAAAAAAAAATCAAATATAGTATTTTCCAAAAAATATTCAGATTTTACTTAGTCCTATCTAATATTTGATTGGCAAAATGATCTTGTGGACCCTTATACTTGTATGTGTTTGTATTGTTAACTCTTCTACTTATCTCTTTGTCATCTGGACCCCTGAACCCATCTAAACTCAACCTATTGAACCCTTTCAACTCATCGTGACTCTCAATCGCGTTGATGTCACACGCCATGTCAGATAAAATTTCTCACATCATTTTTTATTTTTATAATAATTTCTTTTTTGACAAAAGAAAAATCATAAAGTTTTGATGCAATTTTGACAAATTAAATTTTAATTTATTATTTTAAATTAAAAGTTTGGATCTCCTCACATCATCTTCCATTTTCACCGTGAAATGGCCAAACTGTCGGAAAAAGTCGTGGTTGTTGCCGCTCCTCTTGCCGGCGAGACCACAATACGATCTCCCCCACCAACCTCCATCTTCATCGCACACCCTCACCATTTTCTTTCCTCCTTCTCTAACCTCCACAAATCCAGAAACCCTAAGCCGTCGCACCAGCTCCTCGTCCCTCACCATCACCGACCGCTATGCTCTCCATCCTCTCCGGCGTATCAGAAGGCCAAGAAACTCCTTACTGCCTCTGGCATACAAACATGCTAGGAGGCTCCTCGCCGCCGTCTCAGTCGTTGTCGCAACTCTTGTTGGCGACCATACGTGCTCTCTTCCTCACCCGTCTTCATCTCCGTCGCACCATGACCACTAGATCTGATCGGAAAACCTCTTCGCTGTCGTGACCAGATCCCACCCTCACCCGCCTCCTTCTTCTTCCACTGACTTGCGTCGTCTCTCTCTAGGTGCCAATGCGAAGATCTGCTAAAGAAGATGACAAAAGTGTGAAGAAGAAAGAAAAATAGATTGGACAGGGATGGCGATGGCCAAAAATGGAGGTGAACCGGTTGGCGGAAGAAGAAAGCCTTTTTTAGTTATTTTTTTAAAAGTTTTTTTGTTTTATTTTTTTATTTTTTAAAAAATTTTATAACTTAAATAGGATATCACTCGCCTTAACGAGAGTGAATTCACGCACTTTTGCCAACTCAATCATATTGATGCCACATAAGTCTAGTCAATGGTCAGAGGGGTTTGATAAATTGTGTTTTATTAAGTATAAGGGTTCACAATACAAACTCATACAAGTACAGGAGTATATTAGACCATTTCGCCTATTTGATTAGCTCATACTTAAGAAGCAGTTGTCATGATGTCATTGATGATGCTTCAGATAATAATTTTGATACAAGATCTGGGTGACAATGAAACAACAGAAAATTTATTATTTTTCTGTTTCAACATAAATGTCATATTAATTCAATTCACACCCAAAAAAAAAAATACAAAATATTCTTCTTATTTATTTTTATTTGTTATATTTAAATTCAATATATCTGTTAAGAATATAGTGAAGCGCAATCAAATATGATTTTTAGGGGTAAAATTTGTGGCGTCAACCCATAAGATTTATTGTTTTTCTAATTTCTTCTCTCGCCGAGTGTGGAAGATTACCTTTTGATTTACCAGAAGTAGAAGAAGAATTAGTACCAGGGTATCAAATCAAATATTCAGGTATCAAATTTGGTTTATTTTACATTGCTTCATATCTGAAATAATAATTAACATGATTATTTTACTATATTATCCTATTGATTAATATTTTGTATTACTTCTTAAAATTGATTTGGTGATAAATAATTAATGTTAGGAGTAAAATATTTTTTTTTTAAATACAATTATCTTTTCTTGATTTATTACAAGTGACAGGTAAAATATAGTGAATAAGTAAAAATGAACATAAGGAGTACTTCTTTCATTTTAATATATTTTTCATTTTTGATCAGACACATAGTTTAACAAAGTAAAGAATTTTTTTGAATCTTGTAGTCTTAAGCTAAAAATATGTCAAATATACTAAAGAAAAAAGTTAATTTTGTAATTTTAAACATATCATGTGAAATGTTAAAATTAAAGAGTTACTAAAAAAAGATTTCTTTTTACAACGGACATAAAAAAAGTAGAACAAATAAAGTGAAATAAATGAAATATAATGTATTCATATTTATTAGATATTTCTTTGGAATTGGGCATAGTACTTATGCTTTAGATAGAAATTATTTTTTCCTATAAAGTCCTATGCAATATTTATTTTTATTTTAAGGAAAAGAATTTGAAAAATACTTTAACTTTGGCCGAAATTGTTGTTATGAAATTTTATGGAGAATCTTTTACTCTTGCACTATTTAATAGTGTATTTTAAAGATATATATGTGCCCACGTGGACACATTACTATTTAAAATGATGCAATATTTATAATGTCCACGTAGGCACATATATACCTTTAAAATACACTATTAAATAGTACAGGGGTAAAAGGTCATTTCCAAAGTTTGGTATTGTAACAGCAATTTCGACCAAAGTTGAATATTTTTCAGACCTTTTTCCCTTTATTTTACTATTGCAACGATTTCAATGCTCTATTGAAACGATTTTCGTATCGTTTTTATAAATCTTATGCAACACTATTTTACTATTGCAATGGTTATTACTTTATTGGGTTGATTTTTAAATCTTTTTTATAAAGTTTTACACAACACTTAATTTTATTATTGCAACGATTCTTATTAAAATATTGCCGTGATTTCAGCACTATATTGGGATAATTTTTTCAAATATTCGTATAAAGTCTTATGTAATACATAAGTTGTTTTTTAGCCAAGTAGAGAATAGTTTGGGGGAAAAAGAAATTTGACTATCCAAATAATAAATATAAAAAATTATAAAAAGTAAATTTTAATTTATTTATTTTTTCACTCCATTAAATCAAAATGACTCTTTTTTTCAACTCTAAATTGCAAAATTAAGATATGCAACTTTTTTCAACTCTAAATTGCAAAATTAAGTTATATCAAGCTCCTTTCCCTTTATTATTTAAAAGAAATAAGACCATTTTTTTTGCTTGAGATGTAATTATTGACATATATATTATATTATTAATTAAAGAAACTGGAGTAAGGAAAAGGGAAAGGGCTATTTCCGACTTTAAAATTTTTAAATAAATTATTTTCATGCTCAAACATCCACGTAATATTCCCAAAAAAATATTTGAATATTACTTAATCCTGTCTAATAATTATTAATTCATACTTAAGAAGCAGTTGTCATGATGCCATTGATCATGCTTCAGATAATAAATTTGATTACAAGATCTAAACCATAGAAAATTCATTATTTCTACGTTTCAAAATAAATGTTATTTTAATTTTTGTTACATCTTGTTAAGTAGTTCATTCACGTAAAAGCATAATGGAAGACAGTTACTATTTTTGTCCTAAATCTCTAAAATATCACTTATTTTAAAATAGTCTATTTTTCGCTAAAATAATAGTGTTTGTTTTAGAAAGAAAGATAATATAATTCACCCTCTAGTCCATATTAGAATTTTTCCTCACATAACAAATAAGTGAATTGTTCAAAATTCAAAATAATTATTAATATATTTTTTATATTTATCTTTCATTTAATGATGTTCTTAACTATTCTTTAATTTTTAGGAAAATAGTCTAAAAATAATCAAAAAAATATCGGTAGAAAATAGTCTTTTATTTATTTTCAAAAATATATTATATCTCAATAATTTACTTAATATAAACGGAAGGGTATATATATATATGATATTTCTCCACTTTATTTTCATGTTGTCACGCTGAACGAAGAGATGACCATTAATGTAGCAAATAATTGAGCACATGGCCTCTTAAATAAGTTTGCACTGACAAAATGAAATTTAACCCAATAGTTTTGAAGTTTAAAAAATGAGATTAACTAATATTTATTGACGGTGGACACTAAAATTATATGATTGATTTTTCTTTAATTAAATAATAAATAATACTTATTATATCTAAATAAAAATGACAAAAAGAATATTAAAAGTAAATTGGACTCTAAATTAATTATGCAAAAGATTATTTAGGATTCTTCCTTTGGCTTATCAAAAATAGGGAAGATCCTTTTCATCGCGCATGCTCATTCTCATTAATTTTATGCTCGTCAAATATCATTGAAGCAATTCACATACATCATTAAAATAATTTGAGACAAACATCAACACCTATATATATTACTCTTATTTATAAGGTAACAAAGGTTCGGACTAACACGGCAATAAATAGTTGTACCCAAGGCAGCATATAGTGCACTGTAAAGCTGTGCTGGATTAAAATTGCATCTATTTCTTTGGTCTTTTCCATTCAACATGTGTAATTGCACTACTTTTTTCATCAAACCACGTGTACCCTCAAAGGCCTCGCCATCACCCCTCAAAGAGCAAAACTGAGTCTCAGTGCTTCGATGATTCAGATTTCGGAGGTTTGTGGTTTCTCTTTCTCTTATTCTCTTCTATTGACTATTGATATTTTTGAATCTCTTCATTCCTTGTGCTTTCAATTTTAGGGTTCTGCACTAATAAATTTTGGTATGAATTTTGGGCTTCTTCATCTCGGACTCTCTAAATTTATTTCATTTTAATTGGGATTTTATCTTCTATTGGCCTTGATAAATGGATTAAATTTATTTAGAGATTTTTGAATTTGATAATTGAATGTTGTTGTCCAGATATTGACAAAATCCATCCCAGTAGAGAAGCTAAGTTTGGTGTCAAATGGATTCAATGGAGATTTCAATCATCGATATTCCTCTTGGGGTAAGTTCACAGTTTCCTGTTCATACTCTGAATTAGGAAACATCAGCTTATATTATTTTGCTTTGTAGAATAATTTCGCCCTAAATTCCTCTTCACGACATGGAATCGAGAATGTACCTTTTTAATACTTCATCTCATTGCATGTTATAAATATGTGTTTTTGTTCCATTTGAAATTCCTAAGAGACATCAAATTTTCTGATGGGTATGAAATATCTATTTTATATATTTTACTCTTTGGATTATCTTTTTTTTCTGTACAAATTCCTGCGAAATTTAAGAGTTATATCAATTATAACAGGTAACAATCTCATGTCTCATACTCTAGAAATACAGAAACAAAGAAATTTCAAGATTGAACTACCAAAAGAAAAACAGAATGAACTATTTCGACTACATCATCGGAAACAACGTCTCTATCTCTCAAGGTAAGGGTAAAATTGAGTATATTATTGTTGTAGATTTTTAGTACATCGTTTATTCTTTGATTGTCTTTTATCTTGCGGCTTTGTGATTTGTGAACTTCCCTGTAGATGGAGAAAATATTGAACTCTATACTCTCTGAATCTCTCACTCGCCGACAATTTTTAGCGAATTAGGATGAATTCTAACTATGCTTCACTATTATGTTTGCCTTACTTTTGTTATTCAAGTTTCTATCACATTGCTCACTTCAATTTTTTCAGATTCAACTTTACTTTGAGGAATGTAGATTGGATTTTTCTTGGTCTTGCTTTATTATGAAGAATTAATCACAATTTGATATGGATATTTTAGTTTTTTTATATAGTTTCTAGCTAAGATTGCTACATGCGTGTTAGTA